TGCCTAGCATGTTGACTGTCCTTTTCCATTCCAAGAAACAAACACATCTTGGGGGCAAGTCTTGTCTGCTGCTGATCATAAGGAAAAAGAACTTTAGAAGAATCTATCCTGTTTCCTATTTGTAGTGTGGACAGGCTGCCAAGCAGATGCATTTCTCAAAGGGGAACATCATATGTGGTGTTACTCAATGTATTTCTCAGACATAGGAGTTTGTCACATGGGAGAGAAGTGCCTGCATCTTGTGTATAAAGAACAATTAAATCCATGAATATCCCACAATAGCAGGATTGTTTTCAGAGGATGTTGCCATTATTTTGGGATTTTCCCCAAAATAAAAAGTGGCATGATTTTGCTGCTTTATTCACAGGTTAATCTCAGGATAATGGCAACGTCACCCAATGTCATCTGAAAACAATCCCATTGTTGTGGGATATTTACGGATTTAATTGCCGTTTACACATGGGATGTGGGCGCTTTGCCTCCTGTGTGAAAAACTCTTTACTCAAAATGAGAATATTTTGGAATTCCTCCTGGACAGAAGGTTGAAATTTGGGACATGTCCAAGAAAAGGATAATGTTTGGCCACCCTGGAAGGAAGAATCCACTCATTTTGTCATGATCTGGGAATAGCATCTTTAGCAAGTCTTGATTTCCAAACAGGAATATATGTTGGGGGTGGTGGTGGGGGAGTTTGAATGCTAAACTGTAGGCAATTGTGGTTGGTACTAAAAGCATAACCCTTAATGACTACCAGAGGCCATCCCTAGGTCTTAGGTTTTGGCCTGGAAAAGAGTTTGGGACAATCCTAAACTGGTGACCCTGTCATTTATGATACTCTGGTTTTAAGTCTGTGTGGTGCAAAAAATGGTTTAGGGCCTTTACAGATTGCCAGAAATAATGCAGCTTGAGATCACTTTAACTGCCCTGGCTCAGTGCTAGGGAATCATGGGAACTGTAGTTTATTGTGGCACCAGAGCTCTCTGACAGAGAAAAAAATTCCCATGATTCCCTAGCACTAACCCTAACCTTAAAAGTGGACTCAATTTGCCCTGTTTCTGGCAGTCTGCAACCCCCCTTAGTCAGGTTATCTTGTCCTTGGGTATATGTAACCCTGCTGGTTTGACCAGTGAGCATCTGAGCATCATTATTTACTGATTCAATTTGATGTTTCTGGGACTTAAATCTACTTGTTAGTCCCAGCTGGAGTAGACCTGCTAAATCAATGGAATTTAAATAAGTGCTGGCATACTGAACTCATTGATTCAATAGGCCTCCTCCTGCTGGAGTTAACAATTGGGCATAGGTATAAGCATTACTATTAGTTTAATTATATTTTTGTATGTATTAATTAATGGTTGATTAGTTGATTTTCTGTTGTTTTAATGTGATGCTTTTGAATTGTTTTTAATTTTTCATTGTTAAGTTTTAAATTATTCTTTTTGTGAGCTGCTTCAAGCTACGCTCCAGGAGAAAGACAGCATATAAATAAAATACATACAATTCAGATGTATATTTATTTCTTAGAGCACTCCTCCAGGAAAGTATGCATTGTGCTGTACCCTTCATGATCACCCTGACTCATACAAATGAGTTGTGCAAGTACTCACAAGATTGCGGAACACAGGTCACATTCATTGCCGTAAGTCTTGCCATCAGTTCCACAGTGTGGGTCATATTGCAGAGTGCAGGCTATTGGGCCTTGTTTAACTTGTTGATATTTGCTGCAATCAAGCTGTAAAATAAATGAGATGGGGGGGAAAAATGGTTTGCATTAAGTCACAAATGAGAGAGATGTTTTTCCCATGTCTGTTATTGACAGCCCAAATTTGGCTTCCTGGGGCTGAGCGACCAATGTTAGCAGCCCAACCCCAAATAGATCAAAGTTCATTGTACCCAAACGTGGACATAACGTCTTGGGACATAAGAGGGAAAGGGTACTTCTCCCAGTTCCATAAGTAAAAAAACACTATTTTCTGCTATTCTATGACATCTAAAATCTGCTACCTGAAACTATA